TTTAACTAAAACAGAAAATTAAAGGTTAATATCACACTAGATGTCGTTATATATATAGCAACAATAGTATAGTTTAGGAATATTTTATTTATACATTTATATCCAATTGATATACCCATGTATTATTATTTTTTCTACCTGATATTATATAAATTAAAAAAAAAAAAAAAAAAAAAAAATTTAGTACATCATTAAAAACCTTCTGGCAGCTCACTATAAAAAAAATATTAAAATTTACTTTTAAAAAACAATAAAATAAACCTTGAGTAATAAATAAAAAAAATATTTAACCTTGTTACATCTGCACCATACAACAAACAAATATGCTGGGCCCAACAATTTGTACACATTCCTCGTGAAACTGTACAGCTACAACAAGTAGTTGTACGGTTATGACAACCCACACAATGAAGTTGAATATATTTTCTTTTAGCATATGAATGTTTAAGATTATTGTTGAGGCTTGTAAGATGATGCTTCAAATTATCTGAAACTGGTTTGCATCTTTTTTTGGTTCGATCAGCAACCAAAGTATCAGAATAGTATTTGAAGATTGATTTTACTAATTGTTTACAAAAATCGACATGCTTTATATTTTTTTTTCCTAGGACAAATCGGCAATAAGCAGAGAAGCTATTTGACTCTGCAACAGTAAGATAGAAGGCAAAAATATGATCCACTGAATGTTTAGACACAAGAACATCATGATAAGAAAGCATATTATCATGTAAATTATTAAGTATATCTACTGCTGATCTAAATTTACAAAACTCATCAAATACAACAGGTTGACAGAATATTATATCACCATAACCCTTAATGTATTGCTTTACTTCTGATCTAGGAACTGTTATAGAACAGCTAGCAAGGAAAACTATATTTTTGTGATCACGAATTAAATATACAGTTAAATTAGTACTATTTATTTTGCAAGTTCAGCTAACAAATGATCCATATGCACTTTCAAAAGCATCAGTGATATCATGAGGAATATTTTTAGGTCAATAATGACACTTCTTGATTTGTAAAATAGAATAAATCCCATGGTTATGCAAAGTAACACATGCATCTGTACTACTGAACCATGAATCAGCAATAACTGTTCTATCATTATAAAATCATGGCTTTATTAATCTCAATATTAATGCGATGGTTGGTGTATATCGATCTGAGAATTTTTTGTTATAGCATGGTTCAGAGGCTCTACTGGGTCTAACCTCAAGAACAAATTGAATTGTGCATCTGCAATGGCTTTGAATTCACAACTGACTGGGTGTGGTTTTTTTGGTATTTTTCACTGAAACAGACCCTTATCTATTTTACCTATCCACTAGCACATTGATTCATCTATGCAAAGGTATGACCCAGGTGAAATAGTTTTTATAAGATTTTCATTGAATGAATTATGAAATTGCCATGTAAAATGAAAGGGATCATCATTCGCTAGTACGTCTGTTAATGTCAAATACTTTATGATATTTCAAAACCACTGATGGGACATATATTAACCAAATGTAAATAAAACTCCACCTATGTCTTGTTTAATAGACTAGTAGTCGCAAATATCTGCGCATTTTACAAATGTCATAATTGTTAAGATGCTAATGAATCTCATAAATTCCATCCAGGTTAAATTATTCCATCTAATTTCATACTCACGTGCGTGTTTATTCATAGATGGAATTACTACTGACATTATGAAGTCAACAGGCATAAAACGCTCAAAAAACTGTCTGGGCATTGCATTGGAGATATTAGCAATATGTACAACTGATTTACCAGAATAAGAATGGGCTACTTGACGAGAATCAATTGTAGCAATTTCATTAATCCAACATATGTTATTTATATTATTACTATTTATTGCTTTTTCACCTTCATCTTCACTTTGACCACCATCACAGTTACTATCACTATCACTAAACATATCCATTTCACTACTACCTGTTTCTGATTCATCATTTATATGTTGACTGGTACTCACACTATTTGTGAAAGAATTCACAAACTTAATACAACCTGCTGCGACTTCAATTTCTTTTCCTGGTTGTGAGTTAAGAGAAATTATTCAATGGTTTTTGCCTGGTGCAGCCCGTAAAACTGTTGCCAAAAGTCGCTTTGTTTTCCATAATTCTTTCAAAAAAGGACGTGCAATATCTTCACAAACAACAGAGCCCAAAACTGAAACCTTAGTACCTTGTCTGATATTCGAAGAAATTCATCCCATTTTAACATTAGAAAAGAAAAGAATAAAACTCAGTACTCTTATAAACAAAAAAATTTTTTTATACGCCTATGCATACACAATACTTACCAGCATCCATACTTGTTTTTTCTTTCATGGCTAGTATATTGGACACCTAGGAGCATCTACTTCATGATCACAAAGGAGTTGATGACAAAAAATATTAAAGTTTTTTCTTGAATTATATAGTGCCAACCAGTTTTAACTTACTTGAACAATCGTCTTTTTTTTATTTTAATAGTTTATTGATTGTCATATGTATAAATTAGGTATGTAACACCCACCTATTTACTTATTTTAATCTTTTTTATATTGATAAATTTACCTGATATAATCGTTGTCACATTTTTGCTATCTGACATTATACTCATAATCAATATATGATTTTGTCTCATGTGTAACTCTGACAAGCCTATAACATTTATTGTAGAAGTCCCCTGACATAAGTAAGTAACTTGTTAATTTTGAGCTTAATTGTCATTTTATAATTGGTAGAAATTTCAATTTATTCACTGTCAGAATTTAGTACAATGTACTAAATTTAGTACAGGTAAATCCAACTCATTAATATTATTAATCTTAAAAAAAATTTCTTTTACTAATATTAAAATTAAAATTTAACTGTATTAAATTTTAAATAAATAATTTATAAATTTATCTAAACATATTCAAAAAATTTTGTAAATATAATCAGTCTTATTGCTAAAACATGTTTAATTGCATAATGTGTAATACAAATATTACATTGCTTTACAACATTATTCATAATTGTTTGAAGTATGAAACAATATTTTTGACAGATCTAATAATATTACATAAATATATATTGTTAATATGTATATAGTATCATATAATTTATTTTATTTATTTAATTTAATTACTTTTAATCAAATTTTATCTTGTCTGCCATGTTTCATGTCTTAGTAAGCTTTGCAAATGACAACATAAAAATCTTCAATTGAACAAACTCGAGTACCATGATTATGTTTATCAATTTAGCATTCAGTTCATCGATAATTCCAATTTTAATTAATTTAAAGATATTAAGAATCCAATATTTAAAGTTAGAATTCTCATGTTTACTTTACGGGTTTCGTAAAAAAGCCGATTATATTTTGAACGATTTATTAAATGTCATTAATTTTTTCTATTATTCATGTAGTCATCAACGATTTTTTGAAAGCTTTGAAATGAAAGACTAGGGAAGAATTTGAAGCCATATTGTAAAAGGTAAAATAATAAATATCGTTGTTTTTTCTTCTTTTTTATAATCAATCAATTTGTTAAACTTTTATATTTTATTAAACTCAGATACATCAATTTTGAATTAACGGTTATTTAAGAACGACGTATAACATATACATCATTTTTAACAGAAAAAAATTTTAAACGAATATGCAGTACTTATGAAATACCAAACAAATAGTCAAAATTATGTTGACTAAATTTCACTAAAAAGTTTATTTAAAGTAATATAGTCATTTTTTTTGAAGCAAAATCTAATTACAAGAATTTAATTAATTTTAAGAAAACCCAAAGAATTCTATTACTTGAAGATTACATATTAAAAGTTATGATTTGCAAGAAATTATTATTATGATCTCCACTATGTTTGTAAACTATCATTCCTCTGTGCTATTAGTAATACTGTAGCATTGTAATTTGAAGCAACGGTAAATCAATAAAATCAGGTGGCCAATACAAGACTTCAGCATATGCCTAATTTTAGAAATAATTTCATGCGATAAGGTTTGCCAAGAAATGGAGGTGGCGGACACCAATTACATTTTTGATGCGTTCAAATTTGATGTACGTATACCGTAGTCCAGAGTAAGTATATAGTATAGTATTTGAAAAGAGTATTCTCGATTTCTGATTATAAGATTATATTGTACTTTACCAAAAATATTTTCATTTCATGAGAAATTAATCGTATGCCAAATAGTGATCGATGAAAAGAATCATGTTAAATATAGTTTCTTATTCTTAATAGATATATGGATAATAAAATACGCTATTATAAATATCATAATTGCACTTGGAGGTCCTCTATTGTAAAGAAAAAAACAAGATGAGTATGTTTTTTCATTTATAGTAGACAGTTCAGGATTTTAAACAGTTAATGAAGTTCTTAAGTTTGCATTTGACATTAGGGATACTGAAAAGCGAGTCTTTTAATTATTACATATAGGCATGACTCATTTAGGCAGACTAACTTTTAACATGGCTCATAAAGAAGTGATAGGGACTAAATAAAGACACCCAATTTCATATGACGACTTATCTTAACCTAAGACGAGATGTAATTAGTCCTTAATAATTGTGGCAGATTAAAATGAAAAGTTATCTAATGTTAATTGAAAATTTACGCGTAAGTTTTAGAAGCTTAAAAGGAAACCCTAAATGTTACTTTAATATGATCTGAAGATCGGTGTCTACTAAAATCTACTTGTAATCTTTTATAATAAACACTAACCCTAGGTCCGGTCCTAATATATATATAAATATACCCTAAAAATTTTAAAATTTCTAGCTTCAACCGTCACAATAATTTATTAAACATCTGCGAATCAACAACAATATTAAGTATCAAAACATAACTTTCACAATGTTTGCAATTGGTACTACCACAATGTAGGCAATGTGTGTTACCATTTTAAAATTTTTTATTTGTTGATTGCATATTGATATAAAATTGAATATAAGTGAGAACATGTACGGTATGTACATACGTACGTACAATGCATGTTCATTCATGGCGACTCTAACGAAAGACCCTATGGATACAAAATTTTACGGGGAGCGTATAATCCTAAATGTTGGCGGGATTAAGGTAACAAGTTATGATATTATTTTACTAAAAATTTCTGAAATTTAACGATATTTGTTAATTGTTGAAGTATGAAACATATATTTCAACTTTAACGGCTTATCCGACTACGCTGCTCGGAACAATGTTTCAAGAGCGGAACAAAGCACTGCTCAAACCGACCAATGAAAATGAATATTTTATTGACCGAGATGGCTATTTATTTCGTCATATATTACAATTTTATCGTAAAAGCAAAATAATTTTACCGGAATCAGGTACGTTAATGAAGCACTGAATTTTGTAAATGTAAGAATACAATAAATAAAATTTAAAAGTGTAGATCCAGCTGTAACTCGCCGAGATTTAGAAGATGAATGTGATTATTTCCAGATCCCACAAAACGCACTTATAACCGCTCCAGCTATACCATCGCATCAAATATCTCCGATTCGTAAATTAGTTGTTGGCAAACTTGACGATTTCGTCAAAGCTCTTGAAACAGTAATGACTAATGTTTCTACCACAATGTTGAAACATCATTTTAGAGGTTTCAATTCTACTACAACCATGACATTTGCTCAAGAAAGTTATATTGGTGGCATAACGTCAATAGTCATCAAACCAAAACTTGATTCACTAACTAGATCAACATGGAAAGTAATGTCTCATCATGGTGCAATAGGATATTTTTTGTTGGATCAATTTGGAGAGAATATCGGAAATTATTTGTCTAATTTGATGCCCGAAGTTAGTTGGGAATTGAATCATAAGATTTATGGGGTTAGAGAAAGATTTTATGAAATTACTTTGACTATTGATTACGATTTTAACAGAGAAAAAACTCTAGCAGATTCTTGCATAGCTAAAAGAAATTCAATTAACCGCAATTCATTCAGTTTATGTTAAATAGTACATATGGATGAAGTCTAATATAGGTGACATCTATTCTAAGTCAATCGATTATTAATTTTACTAATGGTGTCATCTATATTAGACTTTATCCGTACATATTTTTCTGAATTTTATTTTATCTAATTTAGGATACTATATTGAATATTTATTATCACATCTGATTATAGTAGTATTTTTTTTTTTTTATGGAAATTATTAAACAACTATAAACAAATGAAAAGTATTAATATACATAAAATCTTTATAGTATGCGCGTTTTATAAGATTTATTTAAAAGTTTATACCAATAATGCTTTTTTGCGAGATCAGAATTAGGCATTCATAGTTTAATTTCAGATAATAATCTATGGGCTGCCGTCAATAGAAATCAAGCAGATTGACATTTTAAAAAAAATTGATGGCTTAACTTTCACTGTTCATATCTCAATGAATTTCTAAGCTGTTCTCATAATTGAATAGTCAAAAGAAAGCTTAGATCTTAAGCTTTCACTTGACTATTTATTCATGAGAATAGCTTTGAAATTCATCGATATATGAGCTTTGGAAAGTAAGGAATTAATTTTTTTAAAAATGTCAATCTGCTTGATTTCTATTGACGGCAGCCCATATATTTCCTTTGGGGCATGAACATTGATATGCTTTAAATGAGAGATAAATTACCACTTCAGATATGATTTGTCATGTTCTACGTGGAGTTATATTGATTTCCAAAAAGCATTTGCTAGACAATTCACTTGCCCGACAAACCTTTTTCCTGACAGTATTCCCCAACAAATTAGCTTCCCGACATATCACTTTCAGACAACCCACAATTAAATATACTGTATATTATACATCGTAAAGGGTTTTTTTATAATTTCTAATCTTAGCATCTGCCTCGTCCGCTTCAGCTATATTATTATATTCAGAGATAGTTGAATTCGTATTCAAATAATCAATTAATGTTAATGTACGTATTATCTCTTATTTGGTTTGTTCAGCTTCTATAATAAGAGAATAATTCGAATTTCATTGAATCTAAACGATTAGAATTTTAATTTATGGGTAGAATAAATAAATATACCTTCGAAGAAATAAACATCCATTTTCCAAGAGGATCAATAAAAAAAAACTGCTTATTAAAAAATAAGAACAAAGAAATAAAAGAAATATGCACTGCTTATTATCTATTGACATTTTTCTGTGTCTTGATAATATGTGCATTAAAGATTTCCCATTTTTTAAAAAAATGATCACGCCCTGCGTTCCCTGAATCTATGCCTCCTTTAACCGTTTAATACAGATCTTTTTATTAACGTTGGCTTCAAATAAATTGGTTGATTTTTGATGTATAGCAAAAAAATTTTCTTTGATATTTAGGTATGGAAAAAAGAAAATCAATGTTTCTTTTTTTTCGGATTATTTACGTATTAATAATACAGAAATAATCATATTAATCGTTGAACTTCTGATCTTGGTGGTCGGGAAACTAATTGTGGGCAAGAAATAAGTTAGAAAAGGTTTGTCAGGCAAGTGAATTGTCGAGAAAGTATTTGTCGGGATCTGGCATAAAATAAAATTAAAATACTATTTAAGAAGAAGCACTGCACAAAATCCAAAAATTCGACGCGTCAAATGGTGCTATTCAGTTGTCATTTGACATACCATTCGTCGAGTGTTTGTCTAATATTTGGTCAAATATTCGTCGAATAGCATGTCAAATCTTTTGATATTGACTAGTGAAACTTTAGTGAAATTTCAACATGTTTTAAAATAAATTCTTATGTCTAAGTTACAATTCTGTTAGAATAAAATTTATTTTTCTTATAAGATTAAAAAGTTAAAGTTAATATATACAGTTAAACTTCCATATGTGTACCCTCTGTAACTGCATACCATCTCTAAATGCATGCTTGAATTTGGCCCAAATATATACGTGGCCTCTATAAATGCACTTTTTCTTATTGCTCTCTAAGTACATGTCGTTAAAATTCGGTTCCAAGAGCGTGCACTTATGGAAGTTTTACTGTATATAATTGCATATTATTTCATCTAAGTTACACATTTCAAATCTGAAATCAGACTTGAATAAAACCAAAAGGTCTATAACCATGCTTAGAGTATATATGCTACGGGTCGGGTCAAAATGACCCTAGCATAGTGCGGGCCGGAATTATGTTTATGCCGGCTGGGTTTTTTAATTGATTAAATTTGACTCAGTCAAGTTTAACTTGGTTTGCTAAAATCATGAGTGGTTTAATGAACTAATTTATATGAATCATATGTAATTTACAGTTTGATACTTGAACTTCGTTTTTTTGAATCAAAACCATAATTTCTCTATTATTGTGGTCTCTTAATTCTTCGGAATCTGTCTTAGCTGAACGCGTGTGGTTTAGATCAATAATGATTTCAATTAAAATTAATTGAAAGTCTTCTAATTTATAACCACAAGAATTTCTATTGTGACTTTATATTTTATTATTATGGTTGAGTTTTAGTTTTTAGCGCTTTGCTTTCCTATTTTAAAATTATATTGTAATCAATGCCGGTTTGTCAAATTAAAACTAGTAACAGGTTTAAAATTTAATAGCACTCATATATAATACAATATATTTCGCTAACGACCTAATTCATGTGATCTTTCTGTCAACTTCTGAACCAAAAATAATATTTAAGTTATAAAAATTTTTACATTTTAAACCGTGTTTTTATTAAAATACAATTTACAGTTTACGTTATTTAACAGTCGTTTAAAGAAAAAAACCGATATTTATGTGATATACACGGCAATAAATATTACTATAAAATCTCAACATCTTCTCGCATAACGACCAAAAATCTACCACTACCTTCACCAAAACTAATAGTTTTTAATCCTCCCAACAATTCTGCTTGTCGATGCAACCGCTTCCTCTGATATCCACTTAAATCACAAGGAAACTTTAATACCTTTTCATTACTTCCAAAGAATCTTTTCAAAATTTTAATCATAAAATTGGTCATCACATCGTGTGGTAACCCTTCAAAAGACGCACCATTGTTAAAATGCATCGGTGTGACAAATGACGTTAAAATTCTCTTATTATATTCTTCTTCCCCTTTGCCAACATTCAGTCTTTTAGGCTTACTTTGATTACGTATTTCATGTGAAAACTTCCACGAATCGCTAGTTTGAGAAGTTTGAGAAGGAAATGAATTTTCTGTCCTATGAGGTTTTTGTTTGGAACATCTTGGTTGAAAACTGTTTTTGGAAATGCCACAAGCTTTCGTACTTTGCGGGTGACGTTTTAATTTATGAGCGTCTTTATTTTCCTTTGGTATCAACGGACTTTCCTGATCAGGGTTTGACCTTTCTTGACGTCTTCTTTTCCATTCCCGATTCTCCGCATGGCTATTATATAATCGAATTATGTCAAGAAAAATTTGATTTATGCATATTTAAATGAAGCATTATAATTATTTATCTACCTAAATGGAAACATCTTTCCAGTAACCGCCCAACATTTAGCTAACTCTCTTTTCAGTATTTTCCTTTCATTTTCAACCCTCAATTCCCATTCGATATAAGCTCTAGCCCTAGCTTTTCCTCTACGCCCAACTTCACGTCTAAATGCTTCTTGATTAGTAGAAATATCCGACTTTTCATTGTATCCATCCCATTCAAATATATCATCAGTCCATTTAGATGGGCCACTTTCACTGTAGACAACTTTATCAACATATTTATGCATCTTTAAAACAATTTCTTTAATATCCATTTTTTGGATTTCTTTATTATCATTTTCCATGCATTCTTTGGTCAATTCAAATAATTTGTTTAACGGCTCACAATTGACCATTTGAGTTATTAATGGTTCTTTTAAGATTTCTCGTAATACTGAACATGTTAAAATTAGACTTTTTAAAGTTTGAATATCATTAACGTAAGAACCGATTTGTTCCCAAAGCTCAATGGGAAATACCGTTAAAGCAGGTTTGGGAGTTTTTTGAACTAATGGAAGTAGAAAATCTGTATCTGAATAATCAATTTTATCAAAATCGATAGCTTCAAGGTCGATATTATCATAATCAATATCTTGAGACATTTTGAATTTGGTTTACTTTGAGAAAATTTGTAAATTGGCTTCCGAGGTTATGTGAATGTTGAGAATTAATTATTAATCAATATCGACTGCGGTAGGGTTTATATAATCCGATCACCAGCTTGCTTGTTACACGAGTGTACTGTATTACGATCTTTTTTTTTATATAGTGTGATAGATCGATCTACTCTTAAGTGAAAGTAAAAAATGGCAGAAAATCTTTCTTCAATACATAAACCACCTACAAATGAAGAAATTCAAGGATTAAAAGAGACAGCGGACTTGTACAAATCTAATCTATTTAAACTTCAAGTAATATATAGATTTATTTTTTATTTTATTTTATTTTTTAAAAAATTTTTTTTTTTTGAGATATATTAAGATTATTGCATTTTTACATTTTAGATCGATGAACTTTTATCGGAAGTTAGTATCGATTTTTCTAAAACTACAAGTTTAGAAAATATATTACATAAGTTAAAAGAAATATTCGACAATATTAATGACATACCTGACCTTTCAGTAAGTCATGTTATTCTATTATGAAAATTAAAAAATAACAAATGATATATATTCTGTAATAATCAAATTTTTATAGATTGCAGAAGTAAAATCTATGTTATTGAAAAAGCATGGTATAACCATCCCATTCCCGGACCCTCAACCTTCTGATAATGTAAAATATAAATTTGGATTTAAAAAGCCGACAGCCTTTTACTTGGTCGGTAGTTATCCATTGAAGAGTATTGTGCGTAGTCGAAATGGGTTTAATGTGGATGTGGTAGTTATCATGCCGAAGGTAATTTACCTCATTCTAATTAAAAAAAAAAAAATGCCATCAATTCTGTACATGCATTTGACATGTTTTTTGTTCTTGTGAACGACCTATTAGTCTATATTTCAAGAAAAAGATTATATGAATTATCGTTATTTTTATAAACGTGCATATTATCTGGCAGTATTATCCGCTACTTTGCAAGACAATAATTTAGCATTGAATGTAAGCGTAGAATTTGGTGCACTTTTTGGAGATAGGCGTCGCCCCATTATATTGCTTAAACCACTTGAAAGTAAGATATAACTTTGTATACCAGAATCAATTATTATTTTGAATTAATAAATGTTATAAATACAATCTAGATAATTCCGGTGTAGATTTTGTTATTCGGATATTACCATGCATTCCAATGGATATATTTCCACCTCAACGTCTTTCACCATCCAGAAATAATATTCGTCCCCAACATTTACAGGATTTAGGTCACATTCCACAACAACAATCAATGGGCTCACTTCCACCCACGCCGCAATATAATTCTGCTATCTTAAAGGACATGTATTGTATTTCTCATCTAAACTTGTTATATAAAAATTCCAAAGATTGTCCTGCATTTAACGACGCATGTAAGCTAGCAAAGGTGTGGCTTCATCAAAGAGGCATAAGCAGTGACGAAGACGGGTGGAGTGGGTTCAATGGATTTGTATGGATGATGCTGATGTGTTACTTATTACATAACGGAGATGTAAACGGAGGGAAGAAATTGGCTAACGGGTATAGTTCTTATCAATTAGTTAAGGGAACTATGGATTTTTTGGGTGAGTGATCTTATATATCTATAATTATATATTTCCTTACTCGTTGAAATTATATTATATTTATATTATTGTTATTGGCTGATTGTTCATAGCAAATCATGATTTTATCCAAAATCCCGTATTCATGAATGAATTAGAAGGATCTGAAGAAGTACTTTGAATCTTGTGTTTCAAATAATTTTCATAACTGTTACTTATCAATTATATCAATTTAAATTATATAGTTTTCAAAGAAGTCATTTACAGAAAACTTTGACGTTGTATTTGTTGATAATTCTGGAAAGTTGAATTTGCTAAGCGGGATGACAAAAATTGCTCTTGAACAAGTAAATTATGTTCAACCTTTTCAGTAATGCTTACGACTGGTTTGAGCTAATATATAAGAATTCCTTATGCAATCTATACGCGACTCTTCATCTTTTGATGTCTGCAGATACAACATGAAGCCAGGATTGCAATGGAATACTTTAATGAAAACCAAGCAGATAGATTTGAAGCATTATTTTTGCAACAAGTGAATGATATTAAACTAAGATATGATAACGTTGCAAAGCAAGTTTTTACGACATTACTACTTTAATGTGATAAATATTTCAATTAAAAACTAACATAATTTATGATTATTTGATGTACTATAATATAGAATAACACAAATACCAACCTCTTATTACAAATATACAGATTCGGAGAAATTAGACTATCACGATCCATTTATACATTTCGCAAGAACAATTCCTATACAACTTAAACAAGGCCTCACTAATCGTGTCAACCTAATAACGATAAATTATGCTCAACTTCCAACATGGTCAATTTCTTCAGTTCCACCTTCATATTCATCCTCAGATTTGAAACTCTACATTGGCCTTATTTTCAACCCTGAACAATCAAATCGGCTTATAGATCATGGACCATCTCCTGAAAATGAAACTGCAGCATCACAATTTCGAAATTTTTGGGGAAAAAAAGCAGAAGTACGAAGATTTAAAGATGGTAGTATACTAGAATGTGTGGTTTGGGATGTTAAAGGAATTGAAGAACGCTGTCTTATTGTTAGCAGGATAGTCAAATATCTACTTCATCTCCATTATGGAATAAATGAGAGTAAAGGAATTCAATATTTTACAGGACAATTAAATGAAATTGTCATACCTTCACTCAATATTCCAAAAAGTATTTATAATAAAAATGGAATTGCAAATGGATTTAGAGATGTAACGCAAGCATTCGATAAATTAGTTAAACAATTTATGGCATTAGAAAATATTCCGTTAAGATTTTCAGGTATTCGAGCTGCAAGTTCAACATTAAGATACACTTCAATATTTATACCCCAACCACTTGTTCTCACAACTAAGAAAATATCACATTATGTGGATCCAATTGAAATTATAATTCAGTTTGAACATTCTGCGAGATGGCCTGATGATCTCGTGACCATACAAAAGATGAAAATTGCATTTTATATACGACTTGTATCACAATTAGAACTTCAATTTCCAGGAACTCGCGCTACAGTAGTAACAGATAATGTCGATACGATCATTTCAGAAGCATATATGGATATACTTGCAGATTCTGGATTTGTATTCAGATGTAGAATATATAATGAGCGAGAAATGACATTATTGGATCGTGGAATCGAAGATAAAATGTCTAGTCAACTTAAAAAAACTACGTATACAAAAGCTTTAGAAAGAGAGAAACGAATGTTTGTAGAGATTCCAATGCATACATTGCAAATCCAGACTCTTTGCAATAAGTGGCCAAGTTTATCATTAACCATCCGACTTACGAAACGATGGTTTAGTGCACATTTGCTAAGTGATCATGTTGATGAGGAGTGGATTGAATGTCTATCCTCACAAGTTTATTTAGAACCATCACCTTGGAATAGACCTGGTAATGGATTTGTAGGGTTTCTTCGAGTTTTAAAATTGATAACTTCTTGGAATTGGAATAATGAAGCAATGATCGTTGATTTAAGCGAAGAAAATAGAAGCACATTAAAAAATATTAAGAACAAAGTTGATGATATTAAGATAAGATTTAAGAATTTAAGGTCATCGGATGGAGGTTGCAAATATGGATTAATGTTCATAGGCACTACTAGTGGAAGTGTTTGGGGAATTGAAAAACCTAGCAAAGTTGTTGCTAATAGAATAAAAGATTTGGCCGGATCTGCACTTTTGTACGCCAACGAATTGATAGAAAATGGGAAAAATCCGGAGTTCAAGGTATATATTATGTTCGTTTTGCGTAAAAATTTATATTACTGAGTTCTATGTCTTATTTTTACGAAATTTTATATTTTAGAGACTTTTTATAACGCCACTTTCGGATTATGATGTGATAATACATTTAGATCCATACCAGTGTACAAGATATTATCAAAATATTTTTGTTGATACGCAATATTTATCACATAAGAAAAAGTGTGACACTATTGATGAAGACAATGATATTGTAATGAGAGATGTAATAACACACGATCGTGTAGAAAATGAGGGAAAAATGGTTGCTATGATTGGGTTTGATCCTGTAGAATGTTATTTGGGTGAACTGAGAGTAATATTTATTTGTTTTTCTTGTTATTTGAATTTTATGATCTATCACTTTTGCTGATAATAATGTTTTATTTTTATTTTTATAGAAATTATACTCTGACATAGCTTTATTCTTTCATGATAAACATGGTGGAACAGTCATTGGAGTTGTTTGGGTACCAATAAACTTTACACCCAAACCATGGAAGGCTAGCGTTGAAATCAATAGCATTTTGGTGTCGAAAATTGAAAGCCTTAAGAATCAAAAAGGTAGTCACGATGTGAGTATTAGTTACTATAATAAATTGCTTTTGAATGATAATGTCTTATTTCTTTTCCGCGTTTGTAATAATTTACAGGGTCAAAATATAATATTGAATGCCGAAGCTGTTGCCTTAGAAATGGAAAGATTAGGCGAAGGATTGGTTATTGGGGTTGAAATTAAGAAGTGATCTTTGAGGGTCTATCTGAAGGTTTTTTAAATTAAGTTTGTATTTTTTTTTCTTAGATAATTTAAAAGAACTGACAAACGAGAAAAATTTCTATACATAAAAAATCACATAATAAATGTCACTTTCTTTAATGAAGGTTTAATATATATATATTTATCTTAAATAAGATTAACAATTCAAAAACCATTATTCTGCTAATTAGGCCATGCAAATTAATTGATTGGTTTCATAACCCAGTCGGGTCAAATTTTGAAAGTTTGTAGAAAAAAAATTTTTATATGTTTTAATAACCGGGTTGGTAGTTAAAAAATTTTTATAAAGTTCATATATGAAATTAAAAAAAAAAAAGACCGACCGGGTCTATTTAAAAGTTTCATGTTATGAAAACCAAGATATTAAATTTGGATGGCCTTATTTCATTTTTTTTTTTTTGTTATTTGTTATATAACAAAAAGGTTAATATAATTATTACTTACCAAGTTTCAATATTTATTTAAGAAAACGGAATATAAAAGTATATAAAAATAAGTCTATATAGTATTAATTAAAAATTATATGTATAAATTTGTAACATAATGTTTTTGCAAAACCAAAACTACGTATATCAAAAAATGGTACGAACGAAATATTAAAATTCCAGATATAGCAATTCTTACCAGAATGAAACGTACGTAGTTGTATTGAGTACGTACGTACCAGAGCCCTTTAATTTTTATAGCAGCCAAAATAGCATTAGCGATATCACGGAAACAAACAGAAATTCGGTAAAATGGTTCTTATTTTTTTCTATGGATATATAGAAATTATTAAAATTAACCCAATTTTGACCACATTTGAATATGTAATATCACATGCTATTTTTGCTGCTATAAAAATCCGAGGGCTCTGGTGTACTATTGTACGTTCGTATTTGCCCAAATTTTCGTATGCATAAAACCCCTTTCCTGTAACTTCGACCACAGAATCCTTTTATTAGTATCTAATTCTATCCACAAAATCTTACAATTATCGTTATTTGTTCATGAATTTGAATAGAATCGTTACTATATATATCAAAAAACCGAAACTTGAACCCATACTTGATTGATGTTCACATGTCACGTATGTAAGGGTGTGCTTATAAGTATTTATGTGCGTTCGTGCGTGCGTATCAGTATGTACATATACATGAATAAATATGATCACACAGCCATATTCATAGAAATTGCCATGTCTATCGAAAAATTTTTGAGAACATTGTTTTACTAAAAAATTACGCTTAAAAATTAGATGAAGTGCCCATTTATTACAATCATTAATTATTTTATACCTATAGATTACATTTTTAAATACGAAATAGAATGGTATCTGCCACATCTTGCGATCCACTGACTCGTGATGGAGAATCTTACATTCAATGGATTTATACATTATTTGGGACTTGCGTATATGGAGAACAAGAGATGATTAGCATTTTATTCGGTAATACTTTGGAATTTAGAGATATAATCATTTCTTTAGTTCTGGTCTGCCTTTGTTTCGTTTTAGGGAACGATTTATATATGTGTATTTTTATCGTCAGAAATATTTTAACTTTAAGCTACATGACGTTAAATAGGTTATTTATCAATATTTTGTTGGTTAAATGCACAAATTCCGTAAGCTTATTCTTTAATATTTTTATTTTTTTTTATATTTGAAATTTGAACTTATAATTAAAGTATTTTTGTTTTTAGACAACTTTTGAAAAATTATCGAAATAAATCCGTTGATGGACTTAGTTTACCATTTATGATGAATTGGTTATTGGGTGATATAACCAATCTAATTGGTTGTATTCTAACAAACCAATTACCATTCCAGGTATTTGAACAATAAACTAGAAATTTATCATTTTATTTGAATAATCTCTTTATAAATTCTAATACATGTTATTTGATTTAGACATATCTCGCCATGTATTTCTGTGCCGTGGATTTTGCATTATTCTATCAATATTTTTATTATAAATGGTTTCGCTATTTATTCTCCTCAAATATGATTGCAGGTGGTATTACGATTAGATCTAGATCTGACAGTTATACATTAAGAGATTCTATAAGAGATTCTATAAGAGATTCTTTAGAATTAAGACCAACCCCGAAACGAACGAGTGAGACACATCAAAGAGCGTAGGTCTTTTCTTTAGGTTCTTATATTATTATTAAAATTCTAACTATTATTACTATTATTATTAAAATTCCAACTATTATTATTATTAAAACGATAGCTCAGCAATGGTTTTTGCTATATTATTTTTCACTTTTTATTCAACCTCTACAATGACTTCATCAATTTCTACATTTCGTTCAACACGTCTTATTGAGCGGACACTAAGCGAAAATGAAAATGATATAGATTATATAATTCCATCAAAATCGTTCTTTGAATATCATGCAGAGTCTATTGGAAGAATATTTGCATGGACTTGTACCGTGTTATATTTAACAAGCAGAATGCCTCAGATATGGAAAAATGTCAGTTTATCTAATTATATGTCAAATTTGTTTCTTTTTACTTACATGAAGCAATTAAAAATTACAGTACAAAAGAAGATCAGTTGAAGGACTTTCAATTTTTATGTTTGTATTTGCCGCTTTAGGAAACTTTACATATACAGTCTCAATATTCTCAAGTCCATTAGTGCGTACGAATCCAACTTACTTAAAAGAAAGTACTCCTTATATCTTAGGATCTATAGGTACTTTGGTATTTGATCTAACTATCTTTTTACAATGGTATTATTGGAAGAATCGCGATGACTTTGAATTAAATAAGGAAGCTGTTGATAACGTTGAGTATAGTAGACTACCACTTGGTGATGGTGGATTTAGAAATAGTGATGATGGAAATGATGAGATTTAAATTAAATTATAATAAGATTTGTATAAAGTTCAGTTGTTAAAATAGATGATATAGTGTATTTGAAGGTGGATAGTATATTAATCTATTTACAAGTTCTAGTGCTATAAATTTAAAAATCTTGTATGTGATTTTAATTAAAACATTATTCAATAGACTATCAACCTTTTACGTTCGAGTGATAATTATTTGACAATAGTTTTCAATTTTAATGAATTATAATTTGTAATTGTATCACGTATATTTTAAGGCATAAACCAATTTTCATCAGAAACTACTCACTGACAGTCACGATTAGTGCTTGCATACAAGATTATCAAATTGTCACAATTTATCTTCTAAGATAATCTTATTAAAATTATGTCTTTGCAAAGAAGTTTCTAATAACCAGCTACAAGTGTCATAATCAATCAGAAACTACTATAACGACCCTAGTATAACCACAAGATCACTACAAAATCGGTATGTAATTTTTATGCAAATTAGAAATTCTTATTGTTTTATAGGCAATAATTTACTTGTCAGTACTCTCTTTTTTTAAAAAAAGTGCTTAATGCAATCTTTTATTTATCGCAATAAACCGTATTTTTATTTCATCCATTCCAAATTTCTTGGCATGTTCTAAATTTCTCTATACCATTTATTATTTGAACCGGATATTTCTAACCATTTTGTGGAAATATTTGCGTGAAATAAATTAAATAATTTATAATCCATCATGTCCGTTTCGCTCCACATAACCTGCCATTTCCGATAAACGATTTCGAAAAGTAAAATTTAATGTAGACTATGACTTTATTAACTACTTACTCAAAAGTTGGTCGCGTAAATAATCTATTTTACTTCCAAGCTCCCAAATAGTATATAGTTGTTTCTATCAATTTGATTGGCTGATCGTATTCATGTTCAAATGATCGGCAAAATTTTTCGCGTACAGTACGCGCGTATAATATTGTACGCGACACATCTCTAAATCTATCCATCTATCTGCATTTTTAACTTGTATTATGATCTATATCACGATGCATAATTGTAATTTGTTAAATGGATTATATACTTCGTATAAATCAATGATTTGGCAGCAGAGTGTAAAACCTATTGTAAGATTTCCGTTTACGTAACAGGTAAGATAATTTTCGTCTCAACTTTTCATCAATCAGAAAAAAATTTATAATTACTTAAACAAATTTTATTGGTCGTTATATCTGAATCTCCGATTAAAAACGAAATTGGACTGCATCACCCGAAAATTTATACGCCGTTTGGAAGTATTTGACTTTAAAAAAAAAAAAAGAATAAATAAAACGAGTCATAAACGAAAGTCGTAAAAGTTACCAATTCTGTTATCTTAAATAATGATTATCCACCTATATGTGGCTTACCGTAAAAACCGGAAATTCAAAGAGTAATTCATGTATGACATTAAGAATAAGAAAGACTATGGTGATTTTATGACTACCAGAAGTGCTATATAAGAAAACAACCAGTTAAATCAAACCTTTTGCTAACTTTTTTCGTGAATTTGTATGGCATGTCAAAAGTTTTATCAAAAAAGAATACTTAAACACATATATTAGGGTTTGAGGTCATTCGTCGACTAAGACAATGGGCCTATCAATTCAACAAAACAAATAAAAATAACAATCACAATCGCAACGAAACTGAATTACCAATCAAAATGCCTCAAGCATAACGTATAACTTATGGAATATCCGTTTCGTACTCTGGCTAATATGATATGACTTTGAAAAACGAAATGCGTTATTGACTCTACATATAAGTTATCAATTTCGCTAAATATTAAATTGAATCAAATAAATATTAATATATATAATATCTAGACAAAATAAACAAGCATATAAAAAAGAAATAATCAATCTTATGTTAATGGTGTCGGATTTCCATTAGCATACCTTATAGAAAACAACAGCTGATATGAAGAGGAACACTTGCATTTCATAATTCCACATCTTTATTTAGAAACATGTATATAAATTTTATAAAAAATTCTTACTTAAGTGCCAGCATCTAAAATATTAATAATATATATATATATATTAGTTTGGACACATACATTTTATCGTCACAAAGCTGGTGATTTTATTATTATGAAGAAGCTTGTAATTTTTTTATTATCGAAAACAAGCAGGTACTTTTTATTGTCGTGAAGAAGCCAGTAAGCCTAACTTGGGCTCTAAGAAAAAATGAAGAGCATATAAAAAATAACACTAGCCTACCTTAGCAAGCAAAGATAGCTGACTTTTTGTAAAGTAACTAAACTAAGAAAACTAGAACAATTATGAAAAATGGTTTGGGAAATTGGCAAGACCCTGTATCGCAGATCTATTTTGGTTAGTTTTATTATCACGAAGGGCTCGGAGAGCTGAATGACTATTATGTCGAATTCAAGATAAACAGTTTAAGGAACTTTTTGGTAATGTTGTTAAATTAGCGAATGCAAAATTCTACATACGCTACTAGTAGTTAGGTTTGTCGCGGTGAAAATCAGATTAATATTCATTTTTCCTTCTTTCAGCATATATAGTAAGTATACAGTTCAATATAAAGTATGCATATATATATTTTTATATACTCATTTAATATGTTTTTTTAAATTCTATACCATTTTTTCACAGTGGTCGGGACCAGTGATGTAAATGGATCAGCGCAACGCACATAACTTTAAATTTGTGCCAATAAAATTTTTTTGAATTTTAACACTAGTCGAGACGTGAATTAAAGGTTGTTTATAAATATAGTTTAATATTACATTTCCAAAAAAAAAAAAAAAATTAGAAAATTCACCTATTTGGAATCAATACATGTCGAACAAGTTAATAAAGCTGACAATAATTTAAATTAAATTGTATGATTTTTGATTGTCAAATCTTTTGACTAATTCTAATTTTGTGAAATTTTGCAACTTGTTTAATCTTTTGAATTTGCCATATGATTCGTACGCTACCATCATTTATCATCATTTAATCTATCAATGGAAGAATGCATATATGTTGGCAGGCTATTGATGTACATATGTCCATGCGGTCTAGACACTAGGTGCATTTATGCATGTATTAATGTGTTTTCACACATTTTATTGAGGAAACTTGATTGGATTAATTAGAAATAATACTACGTACGACAATATCTCATCAACTATGGATACGTAAAAGCAACTCTTCTGGAGTTAGTTATGTACTGAATTCTATCTATAAGCTGCGTTAATAGTATCATTGTCCTGTTCAAAACTTAGAGTAACTACTTTTGAGCACTTAAAGCATGGAAAATCTTAGCAGATCTTTTATGTATTAATAAAATGAAATACGTATCTTGGAAACTTGGTGTAATCTTTATTTATTTATTTATTAGGGATTCTAAATTTAACGCTTTTAAAAACTTTTCTCCGAGATATTAAACTAACCATATACTATTATCACTATATTAATCCTCATAACCGCCATTTAAACTATGATATTACTAACCAACGTTATAATTCATTATTAAATATAAAATTGGGTTTTATTAGACTTTTTGATCAAAAATAAACTATTTCTTAAAAGGTTATTTGTCGTTATTAAACAAAATAAAAATATATAATAAAAATTTTTAATATTTATATACTTTACTATGATTTATTTAATCGATAACATAAACTGTCAAGTACTAAATACTAGAGAAAATTTAGAAATCAAAAATACTTATTTCTAATAAAATATTTGAATTTCGTTATTAATTTTCTTTAATAATCAATTAATTAATTAATTGACTATTATGAAAAGAGTTAGCTTTTGAAAAGTAATAATAATGTTTTTGGCTGAATGGTTGTAATTTAAAATGCAATGCACCTATATGTAAAGGAATACATTAGTTGCATCGAATAAATATAAATGATGATAATTGATTTATTGAATAAGTAATCTCATAATGATATCTGAAAATAAGATAAATTTTAAAATGATTTTTCTTATTCGGGTAAATTATATGAACAGAATAAACAAAAAGGCCAAGACTATTTATTATCTAATTATAATTCATTCGGTAATTTTTATTTTTCTCGTTCCGGACAATACCATCGTGTAACCTAAGTATGTATTATGCGTATGCAATTTGAAATTAAATGCACCTTATAAATACGTTAATTCGTTAAAGACCATTATTGGAATGTTCTGCACTTCATTTCTTATTAGAGTCTATGCAAAAAAATTATTTGCGTACTTTTTTTGGAAATGTAGATGTTTGTACTCTTATGGTAAAACTGTAAAAACTGTTAACGTTAACAAACATTCATCCGGATATGAGACCCCGTACACAAATAAAAGTTGAAAGAATTAAGTGTCTGGAATAGTATGCATTAAAAATAGCAAGATACCAAGACTATTAATACTGCATCTTGGTATTAATGCTACATAACATTATTATTATTGGGTATACGCTAAGAAATTGTTATCTTTGTCGTTGTTTCATCGATTAATGTTTTTCAAGATGTAATTCATAAATTTGGTGTACACTAATTTTGATAAAATCTTTAATTCTGTAACATAACAAAAATCCCTAATGCTAATTGTTTGCGTAAAGTTTTAAACAAACGCGTAGTTTACATGTAGTTATATATTATGCATTTGTTTATATAAATCCCCCGTATGCGGTCTTTGGTTTATTTCAAGATTCTATCTTCGAAATCAATCAATTACTATTAAATCTTCTATTCGGTTCATATTTCATTTTTTTGAAAATAGAACCCTGAACGACCGCGTTGAACGCATAAATTTACATTCATTTTTTGATTATTTCATATTTTCATCAAGCTCTTTCGTTTTGATAACGAATTTATCCTTTGAGATTTAATAGTATTCACGATTTCTATCTTGAATTACGTTTTCTTTAAAGACATTTTCTTTTAACATAATCTTTACGAAATGTCATCAAAAACATCAATTCGCAATTTCATTTGCACTTTATTACTTGCTGTCCTTATCATTCAAGCTCTTGCAGTTCCTGTACCAAATCACTCCAATAAATCCGTTCAACCAACTTCCCCTACACCCGACCAACCACAACACGCTACACCAACCGTCAAAAAGGTGAAAAATCAACAACCCGCTGTAACAAATGTCAAAGTGAAAAATCAACAACCCGCTGTAACAAATGTCAAAGTGAAAAATCAACAACCCACTGTAACAAATGTCAAAGTGAAAAATCAACAACCCGCCGTAACAAATGTCAAAGTGAAAAATCAAAAACCCACCGCAACTGATGGCAAAGGACCAAAGAAGACCTCAACGCCACAAAAGTCCTCGTCATCAGACGGTCAAAATTTAATTACAAAGCTTACGGGAAAAATATTTAAGGGAGATGCTACATTTTACAATACTGGTTTAGGTGCTTGTGGTATTACAAGCAATGATAATCAATTAGTAGCCGCATTGCCGGCAGCAGATTATGATAGTTTAATGACAGATGGTAATCCAAATCATAGTGGTGCTTGCGGTAAAATGGCTACAGTAGTTTGTGGTGGTAAAACTGTTACGGTGAAAATTGTTGATAGGTGTCCTAACTGTAAGAGTGGTGATCTTGATATGAGTCCAGCAGCGTTTGATTGCATTGCTGATCGATCTGTAGGACGTATACAAGTTTCTTACACTCTAAGTTAAACTAGTTTTAACGAAATTTAATGTGATTTATTGTAATGATTTGAAATGATATATAATGTTAAATAAATTGTATTGATTTGAAATTATATATAATGTTAAATAAATTGTATTGATTAATTTATAAATAACAAATTACCTGATAAATCCTTAAAAACTTGTGTCTCTTTTTAACCTGTTGCTTCTTAATACAAAGTGTAATTAATGACATAATTACGCGTTTCACCACTATATAGCGATAATAAGGATATTAAACAGCTCGATTTAATCGGTTAAGTCAATTCGGGTTAAGCTGTTTAAAGTCAGCTCTAAGTCAACATTATCTTATTATCAATTAATGAAATGCGAATGTGATAAAGTATCAATGACAGTTAAATATTAAAAGAATATTAGATGTGAGATCAATTGCTTTTCTTTATTAGGGAATTAGAAGAACTACCCATTCTTGTATAGATTTATAATTCAATGGTTTGAAAACATGTTTTGTTTGACCTAACTGCAGCTCAATATTATGTTCTTAATTTTTGAAACATTCCTCATAAAACTTTACAATTTCAGATGTTATACGCATAGTCGAGAATTCTAGAAATATTTACATCACTTCCAAATTCATTTACTCATTGTTTTATTTGACATCCATAAATTTTTTAAAGTTTATTTTTAGAGATCGGAACGATTGTAAATTCAAAAACTGAATTGGACTCTATGTAATTGAAAATCTATTAGTATTTAAACTAAACTAAGTTTAATTTAAACCGAATTTAATCGAATTGCACATAGGGATGTTAAACAGTTCGATTTGTCCGTTTTTGAGTCGAGCTGAAGTGTATATGCAGGATGAACATCAACAAGATTTACAGATCGACGTTAATTTAATAGTAAAAAACATGGGGTTGAGTCAAGCAAATTTTTTCTAAATAAATTTTTTTGAAACTTTAAACAAAGATAACCAAAACTTTATCAAATTTAATAAAAATAAACGCTGCAAATTTGTAAAATAAATGCTGCAAGTTTGTAAAATTCATTTAAAAAAAAAAAATTTATTAAGTTTGGCTAAGTTTTTTTGTTAAGTTATTGTTGTATAAAGTTTCAAAAAAATTTCAATAAAAACAATTTACTTGATTTCTATTGACTCACTCCCATATATAAAGCTCAAGCTGTAAACCTATACAAATAAAATTACATTTATTAGTTTGATATAATGCGTTCTTTAATGAAACAACGCTCTTTTTTTAACTTTCTTTTTATTGTCTGGAGCGTAATAAGGGATTAAAGTGATACCAAAATTCTTGTTTTTAATATATGTTTAACTAAAATATCAAAGACAACTTTGAATTTTCTGCATGTTGTGACACAATATACAATAGTTACGTTTTTAATAATTTTATTAAACATATATCAAAAACAAGAATTTTGGTATCACTTTAATCCCCTGCTCGCTCCAGACAATAAAAAGAAAATCAAAAAAAAAGAGCGTTGTTACATTAAAGAGTACTTTATAACGAACCTGATAAATACGATCTTATTTTTGTGGGTTTGTAGGTTCAAGAGTAATTACAGCTTGAGTTTTACTATTAAATTAACGTCGATCTGCAGTACTCTATAAAATCTTAATTAGTGTATGACCTATAGTTGTAATTAGACTCATAAATTACAATTATCACACATTCTATAACCGATTATTCTTTATTAAAACTAACTATTCTTGTCTATGGTTTATTAATAGCTAGGATCAGAATATAGGAAAATGAAATAATAATTGTGACGGCTGATGCTGATTTTAGGGCCTATTTTAATACAAAAATTTTATAATTTTTTGGGGTATATTTTTTTTTGGCTTTTTTTTTAATAGTTGGACTAGAATTTAGGGTTAAAATTGTTAATCAAAGAGTATATGTGGGTTTTAGTAGGTGTAATGGATCTAAATTGAGACCCCCAAAAATCATCATCAACCGTCTACAAAATTTAGTAATTATGATAAATGTTAATATGAAAATGCGATCGATAACAAAGTGGTTTTATTCAAGTAATTCGATTCGAAAAGAGCAATCTCATAGCGGAACTATGATAACATACGTATAAGATATAAATGACATTCACAGCCGAAACCCTGATTAGACTGCTATAAAAATATATTACTTATCAGTATAATCAGATTTTTAAGATCACTCTCTTTTAATTAATTCAATAGAAAATTTATTATTATTTGCATTCATATTTTGCGAACAATCAGTCAAAGGAAAGCATACAACCTGGTTTTCAATTATATTTTGTGCACAATTGGCAATAGATAACGACCCTAGCATGACCACCAAGATCAGTTACGTAATTTGCATTTAAATTTTGATTACCGAATTCTGACCATTTGCATAACCAAATAAAAAATTCCGGATTTTATCAAAAAAAAAGCGAAATTCTAAGTTAATAATATTCTATCCTATTAATATAATTGAAAGTGTTTATTGTTACAGAAATAATTTAAACAGCTTTGATTTTCTGGTATGAAAAAAATGTTCAATATAATTCTTTATTTAGGCAGTAAAATGTACTTTATTTCTTCTATTCCATGTTTTTGGAAGACTTTTCGCATCCTTCTATCATTTTTCATTTTTTGAATCAATATTTGTTAAAAAAAGTTTTTTTTATTATTATTATAAAAGACTTTTCAAGATTATATGTATATCCAATAACCTCTATATGAACAAAGTACAATTAATATACTGTATATTATACATCGTAAATGGTCTTTTTTATAATTTTCTGCAATTTTTAGTCTTAGCACCTGCTTGTCTGCTTCAGCTATATTATTATATTCAGAAATGGTTGAATTCGTATTCAAATAATCAATTGGTGTTAATGTACGTATTATCTTTTATTTGGAATAATAAGAAAATAATCGAATTTCATTGAATATAAACTATTAGAATTTTAATTAACGGGTATAATAAATAAATATACCTTCGAGGAAATAAACATCCATTCTTCAAGAGGATCAATAAAAAAAAACTGCTTAATAAAAAATAAGAACAAAGAAATAGGCACTGTTTATTATCTATTGACATTTTCTGTGTTTTTGATAGTATATGTATTAAGATTTCCCACTCTTTTTTGAAATTATCACGCCCTGCGTTCCGTTTAATACAGATCTTATTATTGTTGATCTTTGATGTATGCAAAAAATTTTCTTTGATATTTAGAGATGGAAAATAAAAACAATTTTCTTTTTTTCAGATTATTTACGTATTAATAATACAGAAATCTGCATGTTAATCATTAAAACTCCGTACGTAACTGATTTTGGTGGTCATGCTAGGTTCATGGCAATAGATAAAATAAAAAAATATAAGCAATAACTCTCAATATAACATATAGTTTAGGCAATTTGAAAGAAACTAACTAAATTCACAATATTATATGTTTATTAATAAAACTATTATATTTTTCCTAGGTGAAATTACACAGTTCTTACATGGGTATTAATAATTATAGAATATTATAATAAAGACAACTTGCTATTGATGTGATTATAATGATTTATTAAAACTTATATGTTTTCTTTTTATTAAAATCTTATGCAAGAGGGTTTATAAGAATTTTTTTTAAGTTACCTTCTTTATTAAAATCTGATAAACTTCTTTATACAGCAACAAAACATAAAATTTTTATAACAAATCGAGATCTTTACAACTCTTTACTACATCTTGCATATATTCACTAATCTCACATATTGTTTCATTTTATTGTTCAGGTTTTTTTTCTATCCTAATTCTTTCATAAACCCTTCTTCATGTCCTTATTGCTAGAACCTTTTAGCATTAACGTCTAAGCCTCGTAGATCATATGCATAATTTTATCTTTCAAACATTATGATCGTCAACCCGGTTTCAAAAATCAGTTGATTATTTCGCAGTTTTTTAGGTGATCATCGGAAATATCACTTTTATCCCGTGACAATATCAAGCAGAATTTCTTCTAAACCTTGATCCGTTGTATCAAGATGTTACTTAGTCTCTGTTATACCAAGAGCCCGCTGTATTGTGAGTCACTGTGCATATGTTACAGGTCAAATGGTTTATAGGTAGTTGAAAATTACATTTTACAAACTTACAATACATGTAATTTTACGTAAGTTTGTAACATGGATTTCACACGTGATATATAGTACCGGCACTATGAAAAACTCAGCTAGCATTATTGAACTACAGTAAATTCTGCATAAATAGATTTTTATATTATGAAATATATATTAATTCATAAGAAATACAGATTTCAAAAGATTATACTGTAAAATTTTATTAATGCAACAGTATTTCTTTCTTAAATAAAAAATGTTTCTTAACTAATGTAAAATTAGTTAAGTTTAAATAATTCATTTTAAAACTCATCAATTTGGTTCCTTTTTTCAGCACCTAGCCTATATGATCACGTTTCTTACAAATTACAAACTTTCGCAAAATTTTACAAAATTACGTAAAATTAAAATTATGGTAATTCGACAACCCTATTTATAGGTCAAGTTAAACTTGACTCGGGTCAAAATGACACCTAGCAGAATTTTAGGGTTAATGCGGGCCGGGATTATGACCGGGATTTTTAATTAATTAATTTGACTCAGGTCAGGTTTAACTTGGCCTAAAAATCGATTTGACCCGTAACATATACATGCCCATTTATTATATAAAACGTACCTATGGTAGTTTAGCATATATTATATGTTTTTACTATATTTTGTAGATTTTTCTAAGTTTTTATAAGTTTTGTAAGTAAAACTTTTAACTTAAAAGTTTAACATTAGAGTTAGTATCTACGGTTAGATTTAAGGTTTGGGAGAGTTTTTTGAGGCTTAGAACATTTTTACTTAAAACAAGCACACCAATTAGTTAATTTTTGCGTGGCGATAATATATTTATGTGTGTAAAACACCATAAGTGGGTTGGAGTAAAATCAGTAAGATAGGAAATGTAATGGAGATCGACAAGAGAAAAATGTTCTTTATATGCTTTTTTCATTAACGTATTTTTTGAGAACGCGCTTTTGTATCGCGGTAAATTACGTTAGATTATACACTCATCGTAAGGCTTTCGTCTGATTGGTTGATGTAAATCAATTACCTGAATTATTCAAATAAACTATTACAAGAACGTTCAGTGCTAAAAAATCCAAAAAATATTAAAGATTTGATTTTGCTTAAACGACTAAATTTATCACTATTACTACATAACTATAATTATCCGTAAGTACTGTATCATAAACAAGAACGGCTATGTTTACGGTATTTTGATATTTAAAGAAAGCCCTTCTCAACTATTTGACTTTATTAACTCTAGTTAGGGTTGTTAATGGGTTGGGTTGATCCAATTCTTAACCCACTCCAGTAAATTAGACTTACTCCAGCATTTTGCTCCGGGTTGCTCCATAGCTACTCCGGGTTGCTCCAGGTTAGTGATGAGGTTAAAAATTAGTGATACTTGGCATCCCATTTTATTGGTTAATGATCACGTTTTGATTACGTATTTCTACCAATCAAATGCAATATTTAATGTATAAAAGGATCTAGCGTACTTTATTTATAGGCAAGATCATCTTGTTTGAAGAAACGTTTGGTATTAAACTTAGTAAAAAAAAGTGATAGGTATGTGTGTAGAATAATTTTTGCCTTCGTTTAAACTATTGATGATGAAAAGTACATATTTGCCGTTATTAGTTATATAAAATTAACGATAACGATGATTACAACATGGTTCCACCCCTTCTGAGAATAAATAAAATCAAAAATCTTTAATTTTTGCTTTTTTTTTATTAATTCGGTCCTTGGTTTATATGATAGTTACATGTTAGAGAAGATGTCTGTGAATAGTTGCATCTTTGACGTGTGTTCTACGAAACCGTTATGTTTATGTTAAATTTTAGAATTGTCTAAATGTAAGTTTTACCCTAATATATCTACTAAAAAGATCCGCATGAGCTCTTGATAAGCTTAAATATGTAAGGTCGTAGCAAAATTTTAATTACATTATTTATTGTAACTTCCTTGTTTTCTTTCAGAATTTATTTAATAGACTGAGATGCTGACTTTGATATTGTGTCGATCTTGTACAATTATTCACCTTGTGTTTTATATTTTAAAATGAAAAATAAAAACTTTAACAATGAATTATTACTTAGCCATATATTTTTGCGGGTAAATTAGCCAGCAAAAACTATTCAATAATCGCACATTTTTGCTCTGCTAAATCGAGTGTATAAATTATCTAATCATATCAGGAGTATGCTGTTTATAATTTGTCAGATATTGGAGTTTAGGATAAATCTAACAGTCATAAGTGCACATTCGATAATAGTTCGTTATTTGACCAGAAAATTAATGTGTGACTTTTGAGTGGGCTAAACTCAAGTGAAATAAATGTAAGAGACCGTTAAAAGTGATGTTAGTTAAATGCAGTCTGGCTGTTAATAATTTACCAACCTGATTAAATTTCTTTACATGTTGAAATCGGGCGAAACGGCTCCACAATCCAAAATCTTGCGTAACCTACGGTTGGCTTAGTCGAAAAGAGGCGTTTAGATTTGGTCGGTGGTTTGGGTCCGTATGTAAGTATTTCTTCTTTACTTATCTTGGGGTTTTCTTGCTTGTGCTTTCTACTAACTTTAATCCTCAATGACCTCACTACTTCGGGTAATTGGACAACACGTACAACCTCAACTATCACACTTCTTCGGATAGTTGGACTCGAGTGGCCACGACTGATCCTGGTACTTTAGGATACAACAGCCGGATGGGGGTGTAACAATATTACGGGTTAGAACAGAAAAATTCAAGAGGCGGGTTTTTATGGTCTGGGGACTTAGCGATTAGTTAATGTAGCAAGGGAGACGTTTATGTATTTATTATTATGTAAGGGGCCAGTTATTATTTTAATAAAGCGAAGTACTTGTCTTTTCCTTAGGGTCTTTACGACCTTTATTTATAAGAACAATTTACCATATACATTTTCTTGTTCTATATTAGCATTGTCTAAGACTATAATGATTACGACTACATTAGTGTTCCTCCATTACTGACTACTTTACTTACTTCGCCCCTTTGGTCGGAAAGGACTTTTCCTACATTTCGGTCCTTTCTGACGATTCAGACTTTTCTAGCCGGGTCACCCTTATTTGGTTAGCCGTGTCACGTGACACGTGACTTAGCCGGATATCAATGTTTATTATTGCGGATTTTTAAAATTACGCGTTATTTTTAACATAAAAAAAAAAAACCAGAAAGAAAAGATTTTATAACATATATACAAAACAAGTAGGTTTATATAGAGTCTGAAAGTTGTAGTATTTGTTATAAATCTGAACACAATTCACAACCTAATGTCTACAAACATCTATGATTAATAAATTCAAACACGTTATAAGAACCCAACAAACTCAAGCATTATATCCAGGCTTTTAAATTCTGACGAGTTTATATTTGCATAATTATTTAATATAAACCTAATTCAAACTTTTTAAAAAACTATTTCATTAGAAATTATGTTGTTGACATGCTAAATTCGAAAGAAGCTTTTCTTATATGTAATCTCATGCAATGAGAAAATTTACTGCAAAGAGAGTTAACTATATTAATATTTTGCTTAGCAATGCTCTTCTGAGCATGATCTAATAAAAATATCTAGCATCCTGATTGTTTATAATATATACTGTATACAATTATATAATTTATATGGTTTAATAGACGATGGCATATTTTCCTCAAAGTTTTTAGGATTACTTTGGAATGGTTGTACATTAGAATCCCAACACACAAAATCCTGTCACTCTGAATCCCGACACTCAAAATAATCTTAATTAAAATAGAACTTTCTGATATCAAGTGAATTTATTAGACTGGTTTGGGGTTAGCTTTCTTATATCGAAGGCTTCTTATGTCGAGAGTCACTTGTAGCAATTTTCTTTTTTAATAAACGATGTGCAAAATTTCTTCATATGAACGCTAACGATTAATATAAGTAATAAACATAAAATAAAGCAAATAGTTTTTTCTCAACATTAATAATATTTACAAATTATCAAATATTATGAGTATAAAAATAAATTTATTCCAAAAAATATTGAATGATTTTTAATATGTTTATGGAAAGGTTCGACCAAAATGTCGAAAGCATTTGTAATACTAAACCATCTTTCGTTATTCCACCTTGCAATATTTCCAAGCTTAATTTTTCCTTTAATTCCCTAACATATTTTATAGAATTTAATAATATATGTTTATCACCATTTC